TTGCAGCGGTCCATCTGTTACGATCATACTCACAAGCTCACATTTTCCATCTCTCTTGGTTATGTTGTTCAAGTTTTCCCCAATGTCCTCCTACCCCGCGATCTTGAGCGTGCTGAGCTTACCTTCTCTGCCTGGAACGGGATAAGACATCCCAGTGAGTTTGATCTTGACATTAAGTTTCCAGTTTCATCTCTCTGTAAGAAGCCTATACTCTTCTTCTTGAACGAGGTAGGACGTGAAGGCAATGCCACTCTTGGAACCTACTCTAGATCTTTGGTAAAAGATGATTTGAAGAGGAAGCTTCTATGTTTTCCACGCTCTCCTCCTCTCCCTAATGTGGAAAAGATCCAGGTCCTTGGGCTTCCTCTCAGCAAAAATTGGCACTTGGTGAGGTTTCCTTGTTTGTCATTTGATCACCTGTCCTTTTCTTTATGAATTTGTAGTTGATGATTCTTCCTTTCTTTTTCTTCGCTGCTCCGATCAGGCGCCCAGACGGTTGTGTTGCAGATCAACTCCAACTACTAATGAGCCTTTCAGATTTACAGTTGGGCAGTGTGGAAAGATCATTTTGGGTTCCACGATTAGTTCCCAATGAACACTTTAATGATGGTGGATACTGGATCTAAAGCATATGTTCTTTCAGCTCTATCCTGTGGCTTGTACATAGGTATGATCCAGGACCTTAACTGTTGTCTGACCTAGAATGCTAAAGCCCAAAATTTGAAATATTTTTCTTCCACTTTCGCTCTTTTGTTTATTCCTCGTTTCACTTTCTTTTTTGTACATCCGAGATTGTCAAGAAATCAACCCTTCCTGTTGAGAAAAGGAGTGCATTGTGTACAACATTTGATCTTAGCCCAACATTATAACTTCCTATCTATCTCAGTAACTTGTTTTATTGTCTGAAAATGGGTCTATTTTTTGTTTTCCCCTATCTACTGCATTGTCAATCTTAACAGCCACATAATATTTGTGAAGTTTGTTTTTCTATATTTTATAAAAATGTATATATATCCACTAGTAGAGTGGTCCATGGTTTGTGGATTTAGTGCGGATTTAAGGAAATGTCTTTGGGTTGAATAGATTTATTAAGATGTGTGTGTGTGTTCTAAAACTGTGGGTTTAATCAGAGTGTTGTGGTCTGAGTTGGCTTGTCATGAACTCTCTGACACACTGGCAAGTGAGCCCAGGTTTGCTACTTGTTTTGTCGTAAATCCTGAAATTGACATTATGATGAGAGACCAGTTGCATCATTGTGTAGGGTCAAATAGTTAAAGCAGTGATCACACAAAGTTAGCCCCAAAGTTAGTTTTTTTTCTTCCTGGAGATGGTGTAAATAAATTTCTGCAACTAGTTTCTGATAGCTTGACAAAATTGATGTCGACTTGTTTTATTTGGCAAGTCTACGTATGATACAAGTTGGGAAAATAATGAAGTTTGACAAGTTGCCTAGTGAGATCAGATTTCTATTGGTAGAGCGTAGGCGTTTTGGATTTACCTTTTTTGGTTTAAACATTAAGAGAGAAAATGATTACATGTTAAATCAAACGCACTAGTAAGATCTCGATTCAGAAATCAAGGAACTTACTCCGCGAGCATGTTCTTACCACCTCTTTTGATTAATGTATTATTCTGTCTTTCGCTTTAGTTCAAGTTAAGGTCTTTTGATTAATGTATTATTCTGTCTTTCGTTTTAGTTTAAGTTAAGGATCAAAATAGAACACAACACATCACATGTGATTAAGTAATAAATAAATGGAAAAAGAGGTTAAGGAGAAAGAGCATGTGAAAGTGGGTAAGCAGAAGAAGAGAGAATACAGCTGTTTCCGCCGCTCCTCTCTTCCTTTCCTCTTCAAGAAAGTGCTCCACTTCCACCGCCCATCTTCTCTCTTCATACATTCTTCATCTCTTTTTATTTTTATTTTTATCTATATCATCAGCTTTTTTTACCTACGTGGTTCTTTAATTTTATTTACTTGTATAGCCCAATTGCTCTTCCATAATATTCACGATTTTTGTAAAATACTGTCCTTTTTATATCTTAAAAACCACCGGTGTATATTTGTAGCATGATTTGGTAAATGAAAATGAAATGTTGCAACAAACAGTTATAGTTTTATGTAGGTGAGGCTATTTATTAAGAGTGCATAATGTCGACAGTGTGAGTGTCTCCATCGACGTCTTCAGTTTGCAGCTAATTTTAGATATGATGCTCTATAATTCATGCTCATTATAATTTAGTCACTCCTATCTTCTTTACCACAACTTTAATATTTTAAAATGTACTTGTTTCATTATTTTGCCTAATTCTTATAAGGTTTCTTTATTAGATTATGTAATGTTGTATTTTATGTTTGAATTTCTGGCAATTTCCAAAACAAAAATTATATACCGTGCTTTTTATTTCAATACTAGATCAGTAAAAATGAAAGAGAAAAACCATTATGAACTATTTAGCAAATCAAACTCTCAATGCTGAATTAGAAACGAGAAACAAAACACCCTTTGGTTTACTAAACAAATATATCATTCTTTTTCTTAATGTTCGGACAAGGTATTCACAGGGCCGGCCCTAAGAAATAGGGGGCCTAAGGCGATTTTTAAACGGTTTCACCTAAAAAAAAATTTTTTATATAATTGGGGGCCTAAAATTTTTTTTCGGGGGCCTATGTACATATAATTTTTTTCAAAAAACTCAAAACGAATGTTTCATCCGACTTAGCCCAGGACCGGCCCTAGGTATTCAAATATTTACGAACATGAAACATAGATCATTTGAAATCACAACCAGGGCCGGCTTAAGGGCAACAAGGGCTCTTGACAAAACTTTTTCAAAAGTCCTATAGTAACTTATTTTCTTAATGTTGGGTAAAATTTTCTTTCCTAAACACAATTCACACAAGCATCAATCATGTGATGGTGTGTTTTAATGTAGTACAAATCTAGATCATATATGCTAGTAAAAATAATTAGGGCCTCTAATATTGATGCAGTTGGAACGGGTCCGGGACCGTCTGCACCCCCTATTAAACCAGCACTGATCACATCAGAGCCAGATGTAGGATTTTACTAATTTTCATAGTATAAAAACTGCATCTACAATATTTTATAAGAATAACAATCCAAGAAAATTTCATGTTTTAAAAACAATATAGACCTACACAATAATTTGTTAACATATTTTCCATCACGAAACTTCTTTATATTAACCTTTTCTAACATATCAATATATGTATATATAACTTTTGAAAGTTAGGCCCTATAAAGTGATAGCTCTATAAGAAAAAAAAATTATCTTAAATTCTTAATGTACTTAGGTCTGGACATACATCACATTCAAGATTTTATTTATTGGGAAACTTTGATTTGGAGATATGTCCACTAATTATAAAATTGTAGTGTCGAAATTAAGGTGATTTTCGAAATCAAATCTTCTAAATCTATCATTAAGTTAAGAAAAAATCATTTAAAAATCGTAATCAGAGACACAATGGCTTTGAGAACAATGAAAAATACAATCATTTAATTAAGACACTTAATTAATTATTCCATTCATTTTGATTTAAGCGTCGTTATAGAATAAAATTTTATTTTAAAATAAGTGTTATTTTTAATCTTAATGCAAAATTTATTAATTTTTTATGTTATGCTAATTTTATTTGTTGAAATGTGGTTAGGTTTATAGGTCATGATGTTTTTATTTCAAAAATATGCTAAATTAAATGTTTTTTAATCTGTGTGTACAAATTTAAAACGATAAATAAAATAAGATGGAGAGAGTATTATTTTGTGATATAATGCTAGTAGAAATTGAGAATTTATTTACGTTGAAAAAATATGTTTGATTTTTTTTGCCAGCAATATAAATGTACTAAATCAAGACTATGCTAACTAAACTGTGAACTTTGTACTAATGTGAATAAAATAGAAACATTTGATTCTCAGCATCGCTTGTAAAACTATATGTTCTTATATTTTGAATCTAAGTATGTGCATGATCACGTATGTTAGATTTTAAATTTTTTTTTTTCTTTTTCCAAAAAAATATATACAATATATAATTTTGTTTCGTTTTAACGTTTTTTTCAAATTTATGTTAGATCAAATAGGTCTCAAAATTTAGATAAAAAAGAGGAGTATATATATGAATCACATATTTACTAGAGTACATTAGATACATTGCCAGGAAACAGATCAAATATGTTATGTTTGAACTACTTTGTAGCTGATTGAATCATTTTTTTCAAAAATTCTATATAGCCTGCAAAAGAAAATATTCAATCCATACCATTGAAATGTGCATTATGAGATTTGTGGATAATCCACAAGATCCAGAGATAATTTATTTTTGATAATTAATTATTTTAATTATATTTAATTATTTATTTTCAAAATAATATAAATATTATATTTATTTAATTAAAATATAAAATATTTTATTTTATATTTTGTAAGTAATCTTTAAAAGTTACACCGATCTGTATCCGTTCCAAAAAATAAACTTGACTTGCACTTATATATGTATCTACAATATAATTTTAAATGAATCGACCTACGTCTGCTTTGCACGGATCAAATGACTCGAGAAACCTATAGATTTTAACTAAAATTTTCAGCTCTAATCTGATTAAATATGAATTATAATCATATAAAATTCATTGGCGTTAGATTCACTATTGTTTGATCTGTTTTTTATTACATCAATATTGTTTAGTCTGTTTTTCTCTTACATCACTATTTGTTTGGTCTGTTTCCATAACTATATTACACAGCAAAAATTAAAATTATAAAGGAGAGAGAGACGGTTGAATTGGGGAGGAAAGAGAGTGGGAGAAAGATGTCAAGGCTGGTCCAGCTCAAATCGGGTAAAACTATCAAAATTCCAGTTTTGTCCTTTCCCTTCGGAAAATCTGATTGTCACATACCCTACCAATTAAACAACGCCACGTGAGCACCATAGACATGATGGTGGGAGAGGACAACAACATGGGATAGGCACATGAATTTGTGTTTATTATATAGTATTTTCAATTTTAACACAAAATAGAAAAAGAAAAATCAAATAGGTTCACTGGCAATGAGATGTATGCGGATCCAAATTTAACTTTTAAAGACCTCCTTCCATATAATAATAATAATACAAATAAAATTTAATGTTAATAAAAATATGTGGACCCTTATAAATAATTTCTTTTTAAAAAAAGAAAGAAAAAAGAGAGGTGAAGAAAAGTGGGTTTAACAATTATTTGCTGCAAAGTTAGAAGAGGCTCAGCTTTATTAACTTCTGTTTGCTTTCATTCTCTCTATCTATCATCATCCTCGTAATCCTCATCTCTCCTTTCTAACACCTAGTTGCAGTAAAGAAAGGCTGCTTCTTTTCTCTTTCTCTTCCTCTGTAGTCATTGGTTTTATGAAGAAAAACGTGAGCTAGGAGAGAGAGAGAGTGTGTAGAATAAAAGAGTAGTGGATTCAAATCAAGATAGGTGAATCTAGAGATGGAGCAAGGAGCTGGAGCTGGTGGTGGTGGTAATGAGGTAGTGGAGGAAGCTTCACCTATCAGCTCAAGACCCCCGGCCAATATGGAAGAGCTTATGAGATTCTCAGCGGCAGCGGATGACGGTGGAGGGTTGGGAGGAGGAGGAGGAGGAAGCTCGTCTTCATCATCGGGGAACAGATGGCCGAGAGAAGAAACGCTTGCTCTTCTCAGGATCCGATCTGACATGGATTCTACTTTCCGTGACGCCACTCTCAAAGCTCCTCTTTGGGAACACGTTTCCAGGTTTCTCTCTTCTATCTCTCTCTCCTCCATTACCTCTTTGAGTTTCTCTCATCAATGGTGTTTCTCAAATCCAAAAGATAGCATCTAGAGATCCATTTGCATGTGTTTCCACGCGTTCTTTCTTTACTTAATTTTCTGTTATATACATAAAAATAATAATAATAATATTAATATATTAGAGATCAAGCATCTTCACCATCCCAAGAAAATTAAAGAACTGTTTGTTTACACAGAAAAAGATTCATGAGTTTCTGGGACGTTTTCGCTTTTGTAAATCCCAAAGACTTCTTTTTTTTTATTTTTTTTTATTTCTAGTTATTCCGATCAAACAGTAAGAAGAGACAGAAACTGAGTTGTTTTGATGTTTGGATGGAACACAGGAAGCTGTCGGAGCTTGGTTACAAACGAAGTGCTAAGAAATGCAAAGAGAAATTCGAAAACGTTCAGAAATACTACAAACGCACAAAAGAAACGCGCGGTGGTCGCCATGACGGTAAAGCTTACAAGTTCTTCTCTCAGCTCGAAGCTCTCAACACTACTCCTCCTTCTTCCCTGGATGCAACTCCTCTCTCTGTCGCCAACCCCATCCAACAACCACCTCCTCCTTCTTCTTCCCAATTCCCAGTCTTCCCTCTACCGCAGAGTGTCTCTTTTACACCCAATGTAGCTCCTCCTCCAGCTCCGATGGGTCCCACTTTTCCTGGAGTTGCCTTCTCCTCCCACAGCTCATCGACGGCTTCAGGAATGGGGTCTGATGATGACAACGACGATACTATGGACGTGGATCAGGCGGGTCCCAGCAGCCGCAAACGCAAACGTGGAGGCGGCGGCGGCAGCGGCGGAAAGATGGCGGAACTGTTTGAAGGTTTGGTGAGACAAGTGATGCAGAAGCAAGCGGCTATGCAAAGGAGCTTTCTTGAAGCCCTTGAGAAGAGAGAACAAGAACGTCTCCATCGTGAAGAAGCTTGGAAACGCCAAGAGATGTCTCGTTTAGCTCGAGAACACGAGATCATGGCCCAAGAACGAGCCGCTTCTGCTTCTCGCGACGCCGCTATCATCTCACTCATTCAGAAAATCACTGGCCACACTATCCTCTTACCTCCTTCTTTATCACCACAACCGCCACCTGCCCCTAAACGCCCTTCATCACAACCTGTAGAACAACCACCTCAGTTACAACCAATAATGGCTATTCCACAACAACAAGTTCTTCCTCCACCTCCTCATCATCATCAACCAGACCAACAACAACAACAAGAGATCATGACTAGGGATCAATCGTCACCATCATCATCGCGATGGCCAAAGGCAGAGATTCTTGCGCTTATAAACTTGAGAAGTGGAATGGAACCAAGGTACCAAGACAATGTCCCTAAAGGACTTTTATGGGAAGAGATCTCATCTTCCATGAAGAGAATGGGATACAACAGAAACGCAAAGAGATGCAAAGAGAAATGGGAAAACATCAACAAATACTACAAGAAAGTTAAAGAAAGCAACAAGGAACGTCCTCAAGATGCTAAGACCTGTCCTTACTTTCACCGCCTTGATCTTCTTTACCGCAACAAAATACTTGGCAGTTCTAGCGCTTCTGCTCTACCTCAAGTACAAAATCAGAGTCCGGTCTCTGCAGTGAAGCCCCCACAAGGAGTTCATAAACCTCACGGGTCAGCTTCAAGTCAGGAAGAAGAACCTAGAGAGGAAAGTCCACAAGGAACAGAAAAGGTACTAACTCTGCTTTTCATTTTCAAAATGTTAACTGGTTTTGTTTCTTAAATAACTAAAATCTTAATTTGTTGTCATTGAAGCCAGAAGACCTTGTGATGAAAGAGCTGATGCAACAACAACAACAAGATTCAATGATAAGTGAGTATGAAAAAGCTGAGGAGTCTCACAACTATAATAACATGGAAGAAGAGGAAGAGGAGATGGATGAAGAACTAGACGAGGATGAGAAATCTGCGGCTTATGAGGTTGCATTTCAGAGCCCTGCAAACAGAGGAGGCAATGGCCATACCGAGCCACCTTTCTTGACAATGGTTCAGTAAATTTGAATCACTGTTTCTGAATTGCCCTCGTCCCCAACAAAATGTACTTATGTGTGCATAGTTTTGTAAACAACACCCAAAAAAAAACTCAAACACACAAAAACACCATCTGACACCAGCAACTGAAATTTAAGGTCTCATCAACCTTGATTTTCAGTGGATACAATTCTTTCTTCACATTCTTTCTCTTTGTTCTTTTTCGTTCTCATTGTCTCTTGTTTGTTTCTCGGTTCATTGTTTTCTTCTTCAACACACACACACCCACCCACCCACCCACATGAACAAAAACTCTAGCTAAAGGTCTTTTAGTTTATTTGGAGTTGTAATTCATCAGCAAGTCTCACTCTTTCTTTTTTCCTTTTCTTCTTTAAACATTTGTTGATTGGTTAATTGGGGGAATAAAGAGTCTTTTTTTTCCTTGAGAAGACTTTAAAAACAACAGATACTGTAAATCTTTATTTCTTTATGGTATTTTCAAGCATTTTACTTAATTTCTGCTGCTTCTGCTTTGACTTGATAGATGAAAAAGATTGGCTTATTCATATTCACTTTGCTTCTGTTTTTTTATTTTTTTTGACTGAGGAGAGACTCATTCAAAGCCATAGCTTGAGAAAGAGGAGAAGAGAAGAACGAATCTGTGTTTTATGTTTTATCCCTTTTGCGGCGCCCACAAAGACACAATCCGATAAGCCATTTATTCATTTGTGTCACGATCAGTTAAATAGGGTCACTCAAAGTTTGTTCTTTTGTTTCAACTTTCTCCTTTTTATTTATTTTATTTTCATTATAATCAAAAGCATGTGCAGCTTTTGTACTTACAACGACAAGACTCGTGCCACTCTCATTGTTCATCTTCTGTTTTTGTTGCTTTTTAATACCTTCAAAAGCTGTTTCAGAATATTATTGATTTTTACTGCAAAACTAATCATATATAGAGAAAAAAGACCTACGATAATATACCGAAAATAAATAAAAGGTGGTTACTTGAATGGAGAGAAGATACAAACATGGAATGAGACAGCATGATCAAGACCAAATAAAAGAAAAGAAAAGATTCTGTATCTTTTTGATAGAGAGTAATAATGGAGGAAATGGGTACAGGTAAGAAAGAGTAAACACCACTTTGATTGCCAACTTGCTTTCACCTCTTTGTGTCTTAAACAGCTACCCCAACGTGCAATCATATATATATGCATTTATAAAAATGTATGCATGTATCTAATTATACATTAATACAATGTAGTGCTTGAGTATAAAATACACCAACGAGCCTGGCCTACCCATGTGCATTTGTTTGTTTTATTTATTTATGAGACTTTATACTCTCTTTTTTAATTACTTATACTTTAGGGTAACCAGAAAACAACCAACATGTAATCAACAGTTTCACATGTTGATCCCACCATAAACTCAAAAGTTTAAGATCTGTTTTTAAGTCACTCACATGAAGTTTCCTTTTTTTTATTAGGCTTTCGCTCTCTTATATTGTCTACAAATCCGTTATGTGTCTCGTTGTTTGTATTTTTGCTTATGGAGAGTCTAATTATATCTCCAGAACCGAGTAAAACCAATCTGACGTGATCATTATCTTAACGGGTGTACTAGTTGAGTTTTAAGAGTAAGATCAAGAGATGGTAAATGTTAAGCAAAAAGAAAAAATCATGGGTTGGAGTACAGTTAACGTGATGAAACTAAAATAACCACTTAACATACTCTAGCCTCCGGTTCGAAGATACTAGGGGCTGGTCCAGAACTTATTGGTTATTGGTTAACAAGTAAATATAAAAACCAGTAATACAATATAGTGACTGGAAATCTTAACGAGGAAGCTATCTTGTAAAACTAGTGTTAAGTTCCAAGCAGAAAGACATACAAATGTATCTTTAAGAAAAAGATTCGTAACTACACAGATTCTGGAGAAATGTATGAGTATTCACCAAATATTGCATAGTATCAACAACTGCCCTAACTATTTTTAATGCTTGATTATATAAATGAAGTCTTCAAAATTATATAAACCCCATCACTTGAGATGGAGTCAGATCAAATGAAAAGTTTATGCAACTGAATCAACTCTTTATAAATAAGCGAAAATAATTCGTAACTATATATATACTATGACGTAATATATACGAACTCATTCCAGATATTATATTGTATCAAAATATATCAATTATTCCTAATGCATGATTATATACATGTTTTAAATTATTATAAAACCATAATTTGTGATCCAATTAAATCAGATAAAAAGTTTATAGGGTTGAATTGATTTTCTTATAAGTAAATCTGATCAAAGCCCAAAAGGATTCGATTCGTAAACTAGAGCCGGTCCTAATCCATTCTATTTTCTTCACTAGCCAGCATGGTTGGATATACCACATTCTCTTCACAAAGCTAAAGCAGTATCAACACACAGTATCTTTTTGTCTTTGTGTTCCGTCTCTGATTAAAGCACCCAATAGCAGACTCACTACTAATACATGTTTGTCCATCATGTTCAATCTAAAATCCGCTATCAGTTCCACGAGTGGGTTCATAATTCTCAATTGCACGTCTCTGATTTTGTTACTAGCGAGTCCATTTGACCATTTTTCTTTTTGAACTTCAACACATACTTCTTCAAGGCTTGAGAGGTGCTGCTCTTCGAAGATACTTGATGAGGTCATTATCACTATAGGTTGGGTTTCAGTGTTACCAAGAGGCCAAACACTTTATTTGCTCACGCCTCTCATTTAGGATAGGCGGATCCACATAACCTGGTCTTAGCATTTCAAGTTTAACCCATAAGACTTTGAGATTACCACATAGACATACATTGTCGTCACAATTTTTTCTGATTAACTTTCTTAAAATATCGATTTGACCCAGTAAAATAATTTTTCTAAAATGAATGAAACAAAAATAAGAGGTTCTCATATAATTTAATGAATTTCATACATCTCTTATATAATAAAATTAGCTTTTTTTCTTTCTCCATGGGATGCAAAAATATCATGTGTCACTTCATTAAAGTTTAAAAAATTATTTATTGGCTTTTATGAAAAAAATTATATTATTTAAAAAAAAAATATGGTATTGGTAAAATGAATATATGTTTTAGGTTTTTATTGTTGTAGATTGCATTTGAACTTTCGGATTATAGAGATCCTTTAATATTATAGGTTTGTTTGTCATCTCCGTTTGAGATCCCAAGATCAGCCGACGAGGATTGTAGATATCAGAATAAATTATCAACTCTCCATTACGTCTCGACATTCATATCTTCTTTTCTCCTATTTTATAAGTGATTAACCCACTCTAGATCACTGAAACCCCCTTATCGTATCCCAAAAACAATCATGTAGAGGTGTGAGTATATATATCCTTTTTGCAGACATAAACATCACAGTTTCGACGAGCATTAGAAGAAAAGTTTGTTCAATTTTCTGATTGCTACAATGGTGATTTATTCTATCTCCCTTGCCGATTTGAAAGTCGAGCACTGCTCCAACACCACCGAGATTCACTTGATGAGGTTTTGGGAGGCTAGAAATGTGAGAAAAGACGGTCAGTTCATGAGTCTAGACATGCTCCTCATCGATGAGAATGTAAGCATCTCCTTTCTGATTAATGCTGTTGACGATTAGTTTCATTATGATTGTCTAAAAAATAATTTGTCTTTTAACAGTCGACGGTTATTCAAGGTTCTGTTAATGTGAACCGTCAATTCATGTTCAGGCAGTATCTCAGCGAAGGGTCAGTCTACAGGTTGAGCGGGTTCGATGTAACGTGCAACAACCTCAATTGGCGGATGTTGGATGCCCCTTTCTAATTCGGTTTGACAATGGAACCTCTTTAGTTAAGAAAACAACATATATTAGGTTCATATCTACTGAACTTTTCAGATTCCTAACCTAATTTGAAGTATAAATATGATATTATCGGAATTTTAAGTTATACTTATAAGTATTAGGCATTGTGTGTTCATTACTAACTTGATACCTAATTGTTAACAAGAAACTAATGAAAACCTATAGTCAAGAACAATACATAATTAAAATGAAGACTTCAATAATAACTAGTGAAAAACATAAAATAATATATAACAGATAAAACAATAATGAACAAGGGATAATTTTTTTTTAGATAACAAGAGATCAAAAATTATTATATATCTAAATAAATTTTATAAAAGAGAAATCATATGTTATGAACTCCCTAAAATCTTTAAGCATAAATTTAATATGGACATGAAAATTAAAAACAAACTATTTGTAAAACACAAAAACACTCTATATAAAATAAGATAAAAATAATCGTAAAAATCAAACTATATAATCTAAAAATAAGACAAATGCACCAAAAGATCTATAGTTCCAAAATAAAAATAGTCTTAGTCTTACTAAAGTATATCAATAATTTTATTATGAAATCAAGTTTTGCAACGAGAGTAATACCGCATATCAAAACATTAAACAATTTTAATAGAAATTGATACAAATAATAATTAAATAAAATAATTCATATATAATGATAATTAAATATATCAAAATAAAAAATAAGTGTTAAACAAAATATCTAATAGAAAACAAATTCATGCAAATCACGGATCAACTACTAGAGAAAAAAATTAATTATTTATAGAACCAAAAATTCAAATAACTAAAAATTTAAAAATAAATGTATAAAATAGAGAAAATAAATGATTTATGTATTGGATTTAAATAGTTTATGAATATTTTCTTTATTTTTTTATAGTAAAAACATAACAAAAAAAAATAATTACATTAATTAAAAAATTTACAAACATGTGCTTTCTAACAAGAACAACAAAAAAAAAATTATTAAAAATTAATTATTTTCAGTCACCAATAATTTTATTAAATATAATTAATTTAAAATATAATTGTTGTTATTTTTAATTTGCTCCCTAGTATAACCATATATTAGACATAGTAGTGTAGTTGTTGCCATATTACAATACTTGGATAAATTCACATACATTACCCCATAGCTTGTGTAGTTACGAATCTTTTTCCATCTTTCAACTACCATTTTTGAGCATCTGATGGTTAGAAACTCAACAAATGTTAGTTGAAACATTTACAAAAACAAAAAAAAAACGATCCATCAACTACCAATTCCCACTTCCATTTACACAAAGAAAGGGCTATTTCAACTTTTTCAAAACCTTAGGTCACTTGTGCCCCAAAAAAACAAAAAAATTTATCAAGCAAAATAAAATATGGAGAAAGATCGAAAGTTGGGAACTATGAAGCTGTAGTCAATATAAGCTTATGTAGTTTAATCGAGCTCCGCTCTGCTTTTACTTCTCTTCATCTTAGCCTTGAACCTCGACTTCACCATCAACGTCTCTACTGTGTTTATGAAGTTTCCAACGGCCATCACAACCAGAAGAACACCACAAATTAACACCTGCCACAGCACTCATGTTATGATCAGAAAAAAAATTGTGATAGAACATTTCCCACTGGCTTGAAAATGAGTAACAAGACCAGCTAGGGAGTGAGTTTTCGATACTCACAAGTTTCCAGGATGGATTACATCTAGTTAACTACTGCATACATCAGGATCTTTTTTTTTGTTTTGTTCATGTGATCAAAATGTCGCGTGAATATACCAGCGAGGATAATACAAAAACGGCTAATAGAAGAGGATATTAAAATACCTGCCATTCGGCGACTACCCCAGTTAACACAGTCCTTAGTAACTGCAGACCAACGTATGCTTCAAAGCCCTGAGTTTGCCAAAATATAGTACAAACACGTTAAGGTACAATAGAGATTGATGGAGTGAGAATATTTATCATTATTTAGATCATCTAAGGACATTATGAAGATTGGCTAACTTAATATATATATATATATATTCAGATATTTGAGTCAGGTCCGTATGGAAGCCATGTATACGAATAATAGATGCAAATCGCTAGTAACTACCCAAGCTTGGTCTATGGTCCAGGACACATGGAGCTTCAAGATGCTTTAAGCATAAGTCCATAATCTCAATGAGGAATTGACTGTGCAAAAAGTAAAACTGCTACCTGTAAAGTGAACAAAAGAGGACATAACAGCCATAGTTGCCCATCTACTCCAGCCGTTTCTCCCCACACAACGTCCATCCTCTTAGCCTGCAAACCACCAGCAATGCATTTTTGTTTAGAGCCACTTCATAGAGGCGTATAGGGTTTGGACCAGAGATAAGTTTAAATAGCATGGCACCTTTCCTAGTGCAATGCGAGTGTATAATCTTTGGCGCTGATATCTATTTTGCAGAAGCATCGCAACACCTTGCATCATAGCCCATTGGAGGAAGAGACGGACTCCTTTCTGCGAAAGATTTTGAATGATCCATAAAATTTTACTTGGTGAATTTGAGTCTGCATATATGATAATGATGGTAACCAATACCTGCTTCTGAACACAGTTTGGTTGACCTTTGATCTCCCAAGTGAGACTGACAAGGGCCATAGCCATGGCACAATAGTGATGATAAAGCCACCTGCAAAAAGCATACCAGCCCAGAGGTTTAAGTCATCGGCTTAACTTAATGATTCACTTCAGCTGAATATCATCTAATTTAGCAACCGCCGTGACATCATGTGATTTCTAATCACCTAGATTGATTCAAAATTTGATAAGAATAGCCAACCGGAACTCAATGGATAAAAACAATCATAACTAAGAGTACCATGAACGGATGTCACTCCCGTTGGCTCTCAATATGTTCTCTCGCATAGCCAAACCAGCATAAAGGAACAAAAGCCAAGCCTGATAAAAGGGAGGGAGTTGAAACAAGAAACTGATACACGACAAGAGCATTTAAAAAAGTTAAACCCAAAGCAAACGCTAGAATACCTCGTAGAGCTGAACAGGGAAAGCAGGCAAACATCCATCCCAGACATAAGATCTTAGGGTCAAAAGTATTGCAGGGAAAACAAGGAAAAGAAGAGCTGTCCTATCCTATTTCCATGAAAAAGAGTTAAAATGGTTATTGGACATAAAATAAAGATTCGAGGTTGAAGGCATATCAAATGGTGGGAGGGAGGGGTAAAAGCAAAACTAACTCTGTAGCTATTGTATTCTTCTTTGACTTTAAGCTGTATATCTTTCCTTGAGGCTCGGACATTCACAGGTCCCAAAAACATTGTTACAAACCGTCCTGAAGAGAAGGATCAAAAAATCATTTACAATGAATGGATCAAACATGAAATTTGATTTAGAAGGAGGAGGAGGGAAACCTTGAGGTTTGGAGGGGAGGAAAGAGGAAGTGTCGCCATCGGCAAGCATGCATCTAGCTCGTTGCAGATCCTCCTCCAGCTGCACCCAAAAGAAAAAAAAAGATTGAAACTTTTTTCATATGAAGAGAAAGAGAGAGATCTTTGAAGAATGCCTTGTCGAAGATCTTGGGATCGAGATGTTTGTCGGAGAGGAGGGTGGAGTGGAGGCGGGTGATTGATGCGTCAACGGCGGAGGATCTGTTGCGGAGAGAGACCTCTTCGTGGGAAGAAGCAGATAGGAAGGAGGTGGCTGAGTCGTGGAGGTCCTTTACCTGATCCACGATGTCTCTCACTTCTTCTTCAACCTCCATGTTGTATTGTATGAGATCCGACTTTGTATGAGGCAAACAAATTGGAGACACCCACCAAGGAAAAGGAAAAGGAATAATTTTTGTAGAGAAGATGAAAAAGGTTGGGTATGTTTTCATCTTTTCTCTAATTTACGAGGTCTTAATTGTAAATATCGATCAAATCTCACGCATCTTTTCATTCTTTCCTCCAGCTCTTTCTAAACCTTGATTATATAAAAAAAACAATTGATTAAAAAAAAAGTCAATAAACAAACCACACTGTTGACAATCTCCACGGTCTTCTCTCTAAAAACGTAAAGAAGCGGCCTTCTCTCTAAAAAATTCTGCCTTCTTTCTAATCTTCTAACCTTCCGACCAAGTGTGTTATCTGACTGACGTCGGTAAGTTTCTCTAGTCACAACATGATGTAGCGGATAGATAGGTTGAACGGTCGATCTAAGAATTTAGGGTTCTTCGAGACCTGTTCTTGGATCGATCAAGAGTTACTTTCGTTAGTTTCTTGAGACCAACTTTGGTTTTCATATATATAGGTTTCTTATGCCTAGAGTTGTATTCAGTTGATTGATTATTAATAAAAGAAGATTTACTTTATACCTTATTATAGATTTGATTCAATTCATCTATTTTAAGTTGCCTTGAACAAGATTCGATTAAATTTATCTTCTTCAGGAAGTTGGTCTCAAGAAGCTAACGAAAGTAACTCTTGATCGATCCAAGAACAGGTCTCGAAGAACCCTAAATTCTTAGATCGACCGTTCAACCTATCTATCCGCTACATCACAACGTCAGTCGGATCTTGTTTATTTTTCCTCTTTTTTGGTCTTGCATGTTTAGATCTTTTTGGATAAGCTTTGATTCTTTCGTTTGTAGATTTAGATCTAGATATACTTTTATTGCCATTGGTCGGCTTGTGTTTCCGTCAGCGCACTCTCTTTCGGTGATCAATCGTCTATGATATCTGTTGTAGTACATGTTTCGATAAAGATAAACAGTCGGTTTAGAATCCGCGTCGCAATATCTTTTCGGTCGACGACGGCTTTGTGTTGGTAGTGTTTGATTTGTGGTTGATGGTTTGTTTATACCGGATGAGATCTCGATCTAGGTCGATGGAAGCTCTCCGATGGATATAAATCGGTGGATGAAGTTGCATGAGGTGTTGATGATGGATTTGTAGGCGTTTAGGTGTGGAGGCTTTGGGTTAAAGATGAGATCTCAAACTTCGATGAAGCTTTGCGTCGCCAAAAGCTAAGGAAAAGAAGGTGTGTAGGTTGTTTCCAGTGCGGTCCAGTGAAACGGCGTTCAAGGCTCTCGGCGAGTTTCTCGCGGCGGTCGCAAAGTAGGGTTCGGATGTTTAGGTGTTTTAGGGTATTTGTGTTGCTGTCTTGTTGGGTTATGTGACTCTTTATTTGTATGGGTTTTGGCCATTTTAATATAAAAAAATTCGACGGAAAAAAAAACCACACTGTTGTATTACTATTTCATGTCGGCATAATGGTATCGTAACCTAAAGAATACATATCATACGTTTCCTATCTTTTAGTGAAGGTTGATAAAGGTTAAAATAAACGTTGAATCTTTTTTACAGAAAGTCGATCATTTCTTGAGAAAGTTGAACATTTCAAGTTCATGAGAAAGTTGATCATTTCTTGGTATTTTCCCAATATTTATGTTTGGTTATTCCTAAAATAACATATTCATTCTTCAGCAATAAAAAGTTTATGAAACAAAATATTCATAAGCAAATAAAAATATGCCTATATTTGCCAAGAAGAGGATTCACTATCCCCTAGCTAGAATCAACTGAAACAAAATGCAATTAAACTCGTACCAGTTCTTTCTCAAAAAAAAAAAACACTCATACCAGTATGAATGCTAAAGATCACCTGGAAGTAAGAAGCCGTATGACATATTTTTCATCTGCAAAGAACTCTTGCCTATATTCCATTTTGGTTTTAAAGATTCTTCCGGACGTGTCCAAACACTGAGCTGCCCAAAAATGTTCCAAACAAGAATGATAAATTAAGTGTTGCTTAACGTTATTTATAGAATCACATGGTAAAGTTTTGGAGAAAATAACATTTAGAAAAGGATTAATCCAAGCCAACCAAAATTCAAATGCCTGAAAGTAACCTAAAAATACAAGTATATATCGCTAACCTTGTTGTCACAAGCCCAACTTAAATAGGCAGGAGATGGCAGTCAAGACTCAGGGTCTGGCTGTAGACTTTTAAAATAAAATTCTCTTATATAAGAGTCGTAAAAGCATGATTAATCCATAAATCCATTAGAGTGTTTTAATAAAAAATTTAATAAATAAATGTAATTAAAAATTTTAGTTAAGAACTACTTTGATTTTGTGGTCCAATGCTAGCATCTTATTTAGAAATTCTTTAAAAAATATTATATCTATTTTTATTTAAGATACAATTTATTTATTAAATACAAATATTAAAGATAACATTTAAAACATAAAATTTTAAATAAAACATAAAAAAAGATTAGTAAAATGATCGAGAATAGTTCGAAAGAAGCATATGAGCTCAGTTGTTATCTTCATCACATCCAATTTTACATCATACATGTCCAATCAAATCAACTTTCAATTGTTGATGTATTTGTCTATCACGAATTCTAGCTCGAACATCCATCATATTGGCGATATTTGTAGGGATATCTGTAGAATACGTGAGATCCACATGTGAACTTCCGTTGTCTTCTCCTTGTTGGAAGTTGGAAACATCAAATCACTACAAAAAAACTAAGCTTTTACTAGGAAACTTTACTAGGAAAATAGTTCCTCGTAAAAATACTACGAGTTAACTTCGAGTTTACGAGGAAACCATTTTTCCTCGTAAAGTTCTCGTAAACTTACGAGAAAAATGTTTCCTCGTAAACTCGTAGTAGACTTACGTGGCCCTTACGAGGAAAAAGTCATTTTCCTCGTAAACTCATAGTAACTCCTTTCCTTGTAAAGTCCTAGTACGAAATTAGGAGGAATGGATTTGTTACTACGAAATTAAGAGGAACTGGATAGAAAATATCGAATTTAAATCAAAAACGTGTTTTGTACCTACTTTTCCTAGCAATTTCCTAGTAAATTCTCAGATTCGAAAATTTCTATAAATACCACCATATGTGACTCATTTGGAAACACACCAAAAAAAAATCAGCTATAAGCTTGATCAAACACAAAAAAAAATGTCCGGTCCGGGAAATATTTTCGAGTTGCGCAAGTGGATGTATTCACACAGAGATAATAACGGGACGGTGACGAAAGAATTTCTCAAAGGGTTGGAGACGTTTATGCATCAAGCAGATTCTACACCACTCACGCAGGAAAGTGGTAAGATGTTCTGTCCTTGTCGGAAATGTTGCAATACCAAATTAGGCCCTCGTGAAAATGTTTGGAAGCATTTAATAAATAGAGGTTTCATGCCATATTATTATATTTGGTATCAACATGGAGAAGATGCTAGTTGTAGGAANCGGAAATGTTGCAATACCAAATTAGGCCCTCGTGAAAATGTTTGGAAGCATTTAATAAATAGAGGTTTCATGCCATATTATTATATTTGGTATCAACATGGAGAAGATGCTAGTTGTAGGAATGAAGGTAGCAGTAGTAATAGCAATTTTCAGATTGAACCGGTTGAGCATTTGCGTAATGAAGGTAGCAGTAGTAATAACTATCATCACCAAGAGGAACAAATGGTAGATTGTGATAGGGTTCATGATATGGTAGGTGATGCCTTTGTAACTCATGATGATGATGATGAAGTTGAAGAACCTAACTTAGATGCAAAAAAGTTTTATGAAATGTTAGATGCTGCGAATGAGCCAATTTACAGTGGTTGTAGAGAAGGTCTGTCTAAATTGTCGTTGGCTGCTAGAATGATGAGTATTAAAACCGATCACAATCTACTGAAATTGTATGGATGCATGGGCAGACTTGTTTAAAGAGTATTTGCCAGAAGACAATGTGTCTGCTGAATCTTATTATCAGATTCAGAAATTGGTATATAGTCTTGGGTTGCCCTCGGAGATTATAGACGTTTGCATCGACAACTGCATGATTTACTGGGGAGATGATGAGAAGTTAGAAGAATGTCGATTTTGTAAGAAGCCACGATTCAAACCGCAAGGTCGAGGGTGTAATAGGGTACCGTACCAAAGGATGTGGTACCTACCAATCACATACAGATTGAAAAGATTGTACTAATCTGAGGAGACTGCTGGAGGGATGAGATGGCACGCCGAGCATACTCAGACGGATGGAGAGATGACTCATCCATCAGATGCAAGAGCCTGAAAACATTTTAACAATGTACATCCACATTTCGCTAGCAATAGCCGGAATGTGTATCTTGGATTATGCACTGATGGATTTAGTCCATTTGGAATGTCTGGGAGACAATATTCATTGTGGCAGGTCTTTCTTACACCATATAACTTGCCATCGGAGATGTGCATGCGACGAGATTTTCTATTCATGAGCATATTAATACCTGGACCAAAACATCCAAAAAGATCTCTCGACGTTTTTCTACAACCACTGATAAAAGAGTTGAAAGATTTGTGTCAACAGGGGTGATGACATATGATTGTTCAACGAAAACAAACTTTACGATGCGAGCGATGCTTTTGTGGACCATAAGTGACTTTCCTGCATATGGTATGTTGTCTGGGTGGACTACACATGGGAGATTAGCTTGTCCATATTGTAATGGAATAACATATGCGTTTCAGTTGAAGCATGGTAGGAAGACTAGTTGGTTCGATTGTCACCGTCGATTTCTTCCCATTCACCACCCATACCGAAGAAACAAGAAAATTTTCAGGCACAAAGGGTTGTCAGAGACATTTCTCCTCCATTATTTAACTGGAGAACAAATCGAAACGCAAATCGATTACTACTGTGCTCTAGAAACAGCTCCTCGTGGTGGGAATTGGCATGTTCTTAGTAATATGCCTGATTCTTATGGTGTTCAGCACAATTGGCA